AATAGTAATTTTTATTTTAATATTATTCTTTTGAATTATTTTCAAAATCGAGTAAAGAAAATATCTATTAATTTGATACTTATCAAATTAAAAAAATCGTATTTGGCAAAAATATTTTTTGTAATAAAGATTATGAAATTATAATGATTAAATCAATTTTTCCTTTTAATATTTATTACTTTGTGCAACACGTGTGTTAGAAGAAAACAAAAGTGCACATAATAAAAAAGGAGAACCTTTATTGGATGATACATAATATAATGAGTTGTGTCATTTAATTAAGATATTTATAGTCTAAATCTTATTTATTTTTTTTATAAAATAGATTATTTTAAAAAGTGAATATTTATATTATATACATTTATAATTTTTAACTGAAAAGTTAATTATTACTTGTGAATATTTCGTATTAATAATATAATTTAGCAAAAAAACTAAATTGTACTATTTTACTTATTTATCTGCAATTTTAACCTTTTATATTAAAATAGAAATAGTTTGTCTTCAAATTTTAAAATATAAAATTTCAGCCTTATATTAATTTATATTATTAACTATTAAATTTTAACATTGATTCTTTCCTAATAATCACTTAAGATGTAATATTTGTCGTAAGTTACTATAAATAACTAAATAATATTATAATATATAGTCATCTTTTAGAGTTGGAGAATTTGTCGTTGCCCAACCCCAAAACTTTGTAATAATTGGTTTTAAGTTATCACATAATATATTAAAAGTGTTTAAAGTATATTGATTAAAAAAAAGTATATTGATTAAAAAAAAGTATATTATCAATCAATTATAAAATATAATTGTTTTAAATTTAATTTTTAAAGTAATTATTTAAACTAATCTATTTTATTATACACGATAATTTGTATTAAACATTGTGTATACGATTTTGTGTAAATTTTATATTAAAAATATTCTCTGTGGATGTTGATATAATGGATATAAAACATATCTAAATTTGGGATAAAATATATCATATGATGAGAAGAAAAAGAAATGGAAAATTCAGGTATTTAATTCTTGTTCTAATCTTAATTCTGATGCTGGCCTTTTCGTTCTCTTTTTAAAATAAGTTAAAAACAAATAGTTGATTTATATTATGATAAAGCACGCTGAAACATTAAAACTTTTCAATAAAATGTGGGAGGTGAACTTTTCCTTTTCCCGTTTCGTTTTAGTGAAAGAGAAATTCTTCCATAAACATTTTTAAGAGAAAAAATAAATATTTTTTTCTAAATTAAAATTAGTTTATATACAAATTAAAACATATAATTTGAAAATTTAATAATAATTTATACAAATTAACCTATAGAATTTATATGAACAAGTTTTAGCTATTGATTTATTTCTTTTTTTCTTATAAATATTTATTCTAAAATTTATCTAAATATGTTTTGATTTTAATAATTTAAAATATTTTTTTTAGTCTATATAATCTCACTTATTTTACATTTTAGTCTTTATAGTTTAAATAAATATTTATAGTCTTTGTACTTATCTTTTTTAGGTTTTATATTTATAATATTTTAATCATTTTAGTCTCATTCATTATTTATTTGTAATGTCTTCTCTTTTGCATTAACGTGAAAAAGGTATTAATTTAATTTTATATGTATAATATTAAACTTATTTTGGTTGAACTAGTCTAAATTAGATATTTTAATACTTCATGCTTCTTTTGTATCTTTACTTGTGATATCTACGGTTGAAACATCTTTTTTTTACTCTTACAAAATTGATTTTTATTACCTTAACACAAAACAGATAACATTACAAAAAAGAATAATTATAAAAACAAAAAATTTAAAAATCGTAAGTATATAGAGTAAAAATATATTTTTTAAATTATAAAAAGTAAAAAGTAAAATAAATGAAACTATAAAAATTAAAAAATATTTTAACCATTCTAATATAATAACATGCAATTCTGATATGCTAAATTGTTCATGTCACACATGTGAATTTGGGTATTATCTATTTGAAAATTAAGAACAAATGTCCCTTAAAGTACTAGATTCATTTAAAAAGTTGATTTTCTCTTAACAAATATTTTTTTATACATACGAATTAGGATCCAACTCAAACCACATACTAAAAAGAATAAAATTATTTATTAGTCATATCAAACATTTTATTGCATGCACATAATTATCGCTGTAAAATTAATTAAAATGAATTTTTGTTTAAATTAACTCGAAATACAAAATGCACTAATAGAAAAAAAAAAGTATGGAAACATTATATATACGAAAATGGATTCACTAGTTTTAAAAGTAAGTCTTAGTAAACTTATTTTACTCAATTACTTATATTTTACATTAAAATTTAATGATTTAACCATTTAGTTAAAAATTCTTAATACATAAATTAAATTTGTAATTTTTTTAAAAATTTGAAAATTATTTAATATTTCATTTTATTAATTCAAATTGAAAGATAATTATTTTCTTAATGATCCAACAATTGAATTAAAAAATTTTAATATATGGATAAAGTTTATAAATTTTTAAAAATTTTGAAAACTGTTTAATATTTCATTGCATTAATTCAAATTGATATATAATCATAGGTTAAAATATTTTTTTAGTTACTATAATTTCACTTACTCTATCTTTTTAGTCTCTGTAATTTAAAATAATTTTTTTTCAAATTTTATACTTATTTTTTTTTATCCTTTTTAGTCCCTATAGTTTAAGATAAATATTTTTAGTTCATATACTTGTAATTTTTTTAGTTTCTATAGTTATTATTTTGGTAACGTTATCTATTATGTAAAACATAAGTTATTGAACGAAGTAAGTTTAGGTAGATTTACTCTTAGAATAAAATGATCCCTATATAAAAGAAGGTCTGAGTCGAATTGAATTTTAACTCTTAATTAAAGAGTAAAAATATCAAAGTATTTGATGTGAATATTGAAAGATGCATTTTGTTAAATAAATGATGATTATAGCAAAAGAGGCATAGTTGAATGATGATGAAAGATGACTACTTTAGGGGGTACTTGGTGTACAAGGAGTAACATGGATATTAGTAGTGTCAGTCCTTGATGTAATTGTAGAGAAGAGAAGAGGGTAGTGGTACAAGTTGATGCACAATCACATGGTGGAAGGAGTCTGATTGGGAGCATGCGACCCCCCATACAAGAACATCCTGCACCACACCACCCACAAGTTGGCTCAACGAAGGCAGGATTATTGTGTTGATTTTGTTTCAGAGTCACAGATCTTTTGGTCCCCCAAATTGGTACGACACAGATACGAATCCTTTCGTTTCGTGGGTTTGTTATACTGTATTCCATTTAGTACTGCTTTGCAAAAGGTTGAGCAAAGACGCAGGTTTTTAGCCAATACAATTTTGGAGATCAAAGAGAAGAAAAACAAAAACATATTAGATTTCATTCCAATATATTACACCGTACAGTACACACGCTGCAGAATTGAAGTGCACCATCAACCAAAATGATCTTCCCCGAGATCACTGACATGTTCTTTTCATTTGTGGATCTGCAACTTCCTTTTTTTTTCTTTTTTTTTTTATCAGATCATCTCCTGTTTATATTGCTTCTTAAAATTAAGAATTTAAGTTGAGCCCTACTATTGGAATAAAAAACAGTTAATGTTCTTAGATTTTACAGGACAACAAAAGATTCACCAAAAAGAGAGAATCAAGAACTCAATGACCGGAGATATCATAAATGATAGGAGTAAACTGTCATTATTTATAAATTATAATTACACTCTAGTTTTTTAATAATTTAATTTCAATATAAAAATGTAAAATATTTTTTTTTGCTCTCGTTAAATTATATTGTTGAATTATATAATAATTACTTTCGAAATCCCACTTATAGTACGTAATTATATACTCCCAACTAACAAGAAGAGATTATCTCGTGTCAAGAAAAAAAAAACTTGATTTCTCTCCCTTGATTCTTTTAAATATCTGCTTTATAATAAAAATTTATTAAATTTATAACATTTCATCCGATGAAAATGTCACCAAAGAGGATCCATTCTCCAACGAATAAAAGCATATATAAATTTTCAATATTTAAAGTAAAAAGCATATAAAAGGTAAAAAGAAACAAATAAAAGCAAAATAAAAGAAGAAAATAAAAAGTTAAATGATTCAAAATGCACCTAAAATTCTCTCGAGACACAATTGTGCCATGTTTTATCACATCATATATACTTTTAGTTTTTGTCTTCATGCTACTTTTTTACTGAAAAATATATAATTTGATTGGATTGTGGATGATGCAAGATTAAACGATTCAAGACACTACATACAAAATCAATGATCATTATTTTCGAGTAAGGGATAAAATGCAAATCCATAGTACCTAGCGTTATTCTTTTTTTTAATTATTATTAAAAGTTTAAATTAGGATAAAGCATAATTCGTCAATTATTAATTTTTATGAAGATATTTAGTATGATTAAATTGTTTATATTATCCTTTACATAAGTTCGAATGCAATGATATAAAATATGAGATATTGATGTAATTATTAGAAACAAATAGGATAGTGTTATTTTGATTTTCTCAGGTCTTTCAACTCTTTTCACTTTTCTTTCGGTAGAGATGAGCATTTCTTCACATGATTTAGGTTTAAATTCCAGCATATGAAAAATGAAGCATTAAAAACGTATAAAAATGGTTGACATAACGAAGAAAAATGGAAGATTCATGTTAAATAATACATATTTTAATTAATAAAAATGATTATATATAACCGCGGCGATAAAATCAAACTCATGTATCTATTTCAACTGTTTTACCAAGCCAATTTCAGTGGCTGATTATAAAAATTATCATAACTCAGATTTATTTGAAAAAGAGTTCCATTTTATATTGAACAGTATTTTATAATTTTTCTATAAAAAATAACTTTTTGGCTATGGATGCAGTGAGTTGTGACTGTGTTCCTGTATCTCCGCGTATTGTGCGTGTCCCAGAGACAGAGGGTATAACGATAATAACTACCGACCAGTGACCACAAGCCTGTTTAATAGAATGTGAATTCATTAAGTAATAAACATAATTAACGTGGCGTAAATTGAGAAAAAGGACAATGTAAAAAAAAGATATTAATAATTATAGATAGAGACTAGAGAGGTGGAATTAATCGAAAATGGAAATTAATGGAGTAGTGGTTTATGAAATTGCGACACAAAAAGGTTCCCCCCAATTTATTAAGAAATCCTTGTGTTCGTGGTCAGGTTCGTTGCACCTAGTTCTCCTGCTTGGCCTCTCATGATACTTATTATTTTCCACCCTCATTACACTCCAACTGTTGCTCCCTTGGCCATGTTCATGTTCGTGTTCGTGTTGCCCATTATTCTGAGTCTGAGCATCAACAGATTCAACACCTTGATCTTGTTCTTGAATATTATTATTATTATTATTAATGTGATTGGAAAAGCAGAGGCGAAGGCGACCATGGGTCCTCTGAGCTTGGAAGCAAGATGGAAGGTTGACCTTAGTGAGTTGAAGCAGAAGCCTCCCACCCTCTCTGTGGGGTTTAACTCGTACGGACTCCGTTCCCCTTATCGTAGTCAAAGGTGGCGGAAACTTTCTCACTTGATGACGCGCTTTCTTCTTTTTCTCCTCCTTTCTCCCACCTTCCCACGAACCACAAGACAGAAACTCAATGACGTCGCTCTCTACCATATCACTACCCGTTTCGTTCCCTAGGTTCTCTGTGCACAGCTCCAAGCTCTCGGCGCTGAGCCGCACCGATGGGTGCCCTTGAATGGAGCTCCAAGTGAAGGGAAGCATGAGCCTGTATTGTATTCTTGACTCCTCCAGATACGATGACTGCAACCCGTGGCACACAATTCTAGCCATGTCTTCTCTTCTCTTCTCTTATGTTTGGTTTTTAATTTGATTTGATGAATGGAGTGAGTGAGAATGGCATGGGGAGGGGCTGAATTTGTAGTTGCAAAAAGTCTCATCATGTACACAGCTTCGGATTGGGTACGGGAGCTTTTTGCACCACTCTTACTTTTTTTTTTTTTTTT